TAACAAGCTGGTGAAGCATGACTTCCCCCTGATGAATCAATGCTGAATTCCTGCGATGGACAACCTTCCTATTCTTCCTGTGCCTCAGAACGGCTTTCAGAATTGCTAGTTGTTCCATCAGCTTCTCAGGGATGAAGGTGAGGCTAAGTGACATGTAGTTCCCTCTGTCCTCATTCCTGCCCTTCCTGAAGGTAAGATCTTCCCTCCAATCATCATGCATCTCTCCCAGACACCATGATCATTCACATATAATCGAATGGCCTCAGTGTGACATCAGGTAGCTCTTAGCATTTACGTGTTCTTCCCATATGAACTCCAGGATGCATATGTGTCTGGTTTGCTTAAGTTTTATCAACCTGATTCTTTTTCACCAAGAGTAACTCCACCTCACAGTAGACTTCAGTCCTATAGTTGGTAACTCTGGACTTTTGAAAGTATAAGACTAAGGCAAAGTAGGCATGTGGCCTCTTCCATGCCTGTTCTGTATTACCAGAGTCCATGCCACAGCCAGCAGCAGACCTGTATTTCTCATTTACCTTTTGTCACATATACTTCAGAAATCTTTCTTGATGCCGTTGACACTTCTCACCATATTCAGTTCTAAGTAGGCTCTGGATTTCTCATTTCCATACTTGAACAGTGTCTGTTCCTTATAGCTTACCTGTTCTTGCACCCACCTTCTATATACTTTCAGTTTATCTTTGAATTTTTCAGATCTTTGCCCATCCACAAATGTCCCCTTGCATTTTTGCCTGACTTTCTGCTACCTGGGACTATCTTGGAGTGGGTGAATATCAGCCACCTTTCTTGGTCCCTCTTTTCTTCCAGGGGCTTATCCCATGAGTCTCTTCCTCTTTTAAGAGATCAAAGTCTGGCTTCCTGAAAGTCAGGACTGTGGTCCTGCTTTCTGTCTTGCTGTCTCTTAAGAACTCTACAACCTCACTGTCAGTGCAGCCCAAGGCTGTCTCAGACTTTCTCACTTGTAACAGGCCTTTCCTTTTGAGATTAAGTTACCAAAAGAGCACCTTCTCACCAGCTGCTCTTCCCCTTTGGTCAGGAAGTTGCAACCAATGCTCTCCAACAACCTCTAGATTGCTATACCCTGCCGTTCCCATGTCTGAGGTAAAGTCACAACTCACATTCCATCCCTAACTCATTTCATTATCAAAACCAAACTCTTAAGCTAATGTTAAAGTGCTGCTTTAAAATCCACTTAGTTCCTCTTAAGGATACAAGTGGAAACCAGATGCTAAAGCTAATGTTACATTAGAGATGTACCTACAACTCACATCAACTGTTAACCTGCAAACTCAACTGAATCAATCTCCCCACAGCTTAAGTGTGGGAGAAGGATTATCGCATCTGGAAGAATAAAACTAAGGGAAGGAAAAGGAAAGCAAAGTTCTGCCTTCAAGACAGCAAGCTGAAACAGTGGTGAGAAAGAGGTAAGCCAAAATTTACACATGCTTTTTCCATACCTTCACTTTTCTCTATGAAAAGCATTTACTGCATAGCACTTAATTCAGATATGTTTTATGAGCTGTTGTAAGTCACTTTTCTTTGGAACATCTTTTGAAATTAGGGACTTTTTTCTACCTAGCTGCTAGATTAGTCCAAATAGGAGTTTCACAGATTTTCTCCTACCTGCCCACGAAAGTATGATATCAAATAAATAAAAATTTTCTAAAGAAAAGACCCCAAGAAAACATTAAAAAAAAAAAGTTTATTTGAGCTCCCATTATCTCACATAAGAAAACAATTAAATTTGTACCCTCCACAATTACTAGTGTGATTTATTCAACTGAGTGTAGTGTTGAAATAGGTCTAACTAGTTTCCCAGGATAGAGACTATATAGAAAAAAGTAGGTGAATCACACTCTCCAATTTACTCACAGTTATAATTGACAGATAAGTTAATACAGATATGATATCAGAAACAAAAGAACTCTTCTCCTTCCTCTTCCTGATAGGAACAGCAAGTTTCTGCAACCATTCTGCAGGCTCAAGTTGGCATTACATTCAGGCTAACTTACAAGCAAGAGAGATCTACTAAAATAACATTAAAAAATAATAATAACCACTTCAAAATTAAACTTCCAAAGCAGTCATAACTGGTGTCCATATTCAATTCAAGAATCAATTTAACAAGTGAAGCTAGAAAGACTGGTGCTTTATTGTAGATTTTGCAAGTTCTGTCAGGATTACTAATTTTCACTCAAGTTCAGATGAAGTTATAGGAACAGAGACAAAACCCTGAGCATCTATCCAATTAAGCTTATAAATTGAACTTAACAGAAATAATGTTCTTCATAATCTATTTGTTAGTGCAACTATTTCCTTGAGCCATTCTTATTGTCTTTTTCTGAAAAACAGTATAAAAGCAATTAGAGTGCCTTCAGCATAGAATAGTAGTTGAATGTTTGCTTGAAATATCTTATTTTCTATAAAGCTGCATACAGCATACAAAACATTTATTTTTTTCACATTATTTCCTTACAAAGATCTAATGTCTATTCAACACCAACAGAATACTGTAAAACTGTAAATACATTATGAACAAGATCGAATCTAGAAAAATCTGTATATCACAAGAGTAAACTCTGAATCATCGACAGCAGTTGTCAGATTTCAAAACATGTATTTATAACTGTTCAATTTTTTTCTTTTACATAACAGATTTTTTAGCTTTGCCCCTTCTTCCAAATCCTTCAAAACCTTTCATTCTCTAATTTAAGAATAGTAAACTACAAAATCTATGATCTAAGCAGCTATTAAGATGCTGCATTCCACAAATCTTATTTCTTAAATTATTTAAACAGCAAAACTCAAAACTTGGTTGAGCTTCAGGCACTGATTTGTCATAAAAATAATCATCATGCAGACAAGAAAATAGAAGTGGCAAACTTTTAAAATAAAGAGCAATTACTTGCAGTACAGAAATACTTCTCAATAATTTTGACAGCTCAAACATACATAAACATCACATTTTCACCAAATTCCTGTTATTTACTATTAGAAATCCAGCTGGACATGCATCATTCTGTATCAATAACACGCAGTTTAGTATAAAATGCATAATGTAAAAACCAAGCACATGTTTCTGTTTCAGGCTCTCATGTCAAATTAATTCTGCCCTCCTCTTTCTCCTGAATACTGCACCTAACTATATTCATCCCTTTCCCCCAAAAAATGGCAGTAGCAAAACAAACTGCATACATAAGATAACCAATCTCTAATTCGAAACCAAAGGGAAAAAAAAACATTCTTAGCACTAACAATTTTAAGACACGAAAAATATAAGTTGCCCAAGCACACCATCTAGTGGCTGAAAATTAACTTTGACAAAAATATTCTAGAGGTAAAATTTTGATCTGGCATCTGCAATTTTCTCATCAACAGTTTTCATACCAGAGATTACTCCCTGTTTTTGTTGACACTCCACTGAACTGTACACTCTGAAATGGCTGCTGTGTTAATTGTTCAGCCTGTTTATTCCTTCTTCCACAACTTTACCTCTCACTAACATTTCTCTTTATTTTAAAATACTTATTTAATCACAATCATAACATGTATATTTGTAAAACATTGGTATGCTGAGAATGAGAGGTCATCTGTCAACAACAAAAAAGATATGGGAGAGAAGAGGGAGCAAAAGGAGAGTCAAAAGGGGGATAAAAGGGCAGAGAAGAGGGGACACAGGGAAGAAAAGGAGAAAAAAAAATCTTAAAGAGGAGCAAGCTTTTATGTACTGAGACACACACACACACACACAAAAACAAAAAAAAAAAACAAAAAAAAAACACTGTTTTCCTTTTCCTGTGCCCTATTTTTGTCTATACAGAAATAAAACAACTCAAGACCACCTACACTTGAAGTGGCTCTTCACTGAAACAGCCCAGATCAGAATCTTAAATTATTTCTCTAATCGCTTTTATGTAACTGGACACAAAACAGAATTTGGACTTGCTGCTTTTTCTGAACTAAAGACCAGTAGACATTTGTATCTGCCTTTAAAAGTTCATATAAGCTAGTACAAAACTTGAACAGCCTAAAACTATCTTGGCTGACTATATGTATCATGAGACAGTACTCCAGAAATTTGTCTTCTGTGAAGAAGTATGAAATACTAGGAGCATCTCAGACTATCTGCCACAGGGAAATTCTCCTTTTTTTCTTTTTTTTTTTTTTAATTTTTGTAGAAGGGAGTTACATAGAACGTGAAATAACTCAGGAGCCTGTAACTCTGTACAAGACAGGCTCTTTTGGATAAAACTCTGCTTTATGATTTTGAAAATCCTCAAACTTCTTAATGCCAGCACTTCTTCAATCAATCTCATTCCTTCAATAATGCTATCAAAATCTATATTTAGACTTTTTATTTATATAAAATATATTTATATATTTATAAATATATTGATTTTTACATATCCAATGTTTATATAAACAATTCGATATACTGTAATTTTATGGAACACAATATGTGTCCAGTCCTTTTTAATTCATGGAGATCTTCATGAGTAACCATTAAAATGCACTTCCTCTTTATTTTAATTCAGAGGCATAATGCAATCACAAGCATATTTCACAGAAACTGTAGACATTCCCAACACACACAAAGTATTGTGATCCATTATCCTCCATGAAAGTGAGAAATAAATGTACTTCTTATTTTTCTTAAAATATCACTAAATTTCCACATAGGTACACAAATACTGAATATATACTGAAATGTTAAAAATTAAACAGTAAAGCATTTCAAAGCCCTGGAAAGTTCCAGCTGAAGAAAGAAGTCCTATGATAAGAAAAAGTATCAATATCCTACAGAAATGTTCTTGCTGATGTACAATTAATTTCAACCCTGCTTAGAGTCTTTTAAGAGAGTAACACAAAGATTTCAGAAAGACAGATTTTTCAGACACAAAACAAGAATGTATGCTCTAAGTATAATACCCTTTCAGAGGGGGCTGGAAGAGATAAGCTTCATAAAAAGCTACGCATACTTTATCATAAATGCTCCCATTGATATCTGCTCCATAAATTGGTGCCACAAAAGTCAAGTTCTTCCAGTATTTACGCTCCAGATCTTCATAATCTATGTATCTTGGGGTGCAGTATCTGCAGAAGAAGAGGTAAGGCAAATTTCAGCTAGTCTTTCAACAACCACCTTCAAAATGGACTATGCTTCTGATCCTGCAAGAGAATCCTAAAAGATCACTCTATTTCAAATACACTGGAATACACAGGGAAAAATTATTACTTGTCCTGCCTGAATTCCTGATTTCATAGCTCAGAATGTAACCTCATGCATGACAGCAAGACTGGTTGAAGTTACACACCCATACAACATTTTTCTTTAATTTTCAGGAGATAAACAGAACCCGTCCTGACTGCTTTCATACTAATGTCCTTCTTTTTATTTCTGTTCTTTGTAACAAACACACACGGAAGAGCCACTTCTCTGACAACTGACATTTATTATTTCTCTGCTTCAGTACTATCTCTGCAAACACAGAGGCAGAGCCTACACAAGTCTATCTCACAATAATTCAAATGAACTAATTCTGCCAAGCAACAGTACTGCTTGGCAAAAACAGCGCTTTGCTTCCTTGCTCCTCCCCCAGGAAAAGACTTCAAGAGGAGACAGAGCATTTCAAACAGTGATAGCAAAACTTCTCTCAAGCAATGAAAATAAAATACATAAGAGATCTTTCCTTTTTCCCCTGTAGGATACTACACCTTTATATATCCAAGAAGGTTACTCTTTGAAAATCTTCTGAAAATACAGCATTAGCATACTACCATAAAAAACACTCATTAATAGCCTTTCCTGTGGGATCCTTTTGTCAGGACTCTGTTCTCCCACATTTTAGTCTTTAGGAAAGAAAACATGTACTCCTTCTAGTGCAGCTCTGAGAAACAGTTCATCATTAGCACTGCCAGATTACTACAGCTGAACCACTGGAAAGAAACCCTGAATATATATGAACAAAGTACACCACGTGATAAAACAGAACAAAGATAAGCAGTTAACAATATACATCTTAAACAATTAATTTTTAGCAACAGAGTTTTTATTTCCACCATTTTTCACTATGTGGCTCCAGAAAACGACCTGTGTTTCTGATGCTGAGTAATAAGGATACATAAATTCAGTTACTATAACAAGTATCTCCACTATGGAATGCAGGTATGCCCATATTTCCCTATAGACAGGGTGGAGAAGCACGCTGTTTAAATGGTGAATTGAGAACACCTAAACAAATAAAAGATGCAATGCATTAGACAGCATTAAAACAGACCATTGTTTTAAATGGAGCTGTGACTTTCATTCAGATGTTCATGGTCCTTTCCTCTTTTCCAAAGGAAAGGGATATCACCACAGTATTTAAGGACAGGGAAGCTTTCTTCATAAAGGAATAAAAGTCTTTTTTTATAAGATTATGAGAGGTCCCAGTTCTTTAATAGCTTAAGTAAAATAAAGAATATTAGCAGTGTCACAGGAAGTGACATTTTCTCAAGAGCAGTTACAAATACTCAGAGAGAGACTCAATAATTCATTAAAAATTCTCCCAAATGTTCTTGACTTTAACTATGAAGTTGTAAACTGCTTTCAATAAAAAAGGTATAAAAACTGAAATCAGAAATGCTTCCCAAATACATTCCAGGTATTAAGCATTCTTGAATCTATTTTAAAAAATTGTTTCTCATTCTACCATGAATTAATCAAATACACATTTCAACTATACATGAATAGATATCATAGGAATTGACCTAACTTTCTATTTACTCTCTCCTCTAACAGTTCTGAACAAATACATATAAACAACCACAAAAACAGACTTCCTACTTATCAGGAAAAGAAACTTCTGTGTGATAAAACCACTTTTTTCACAAAAAGTACAAAAGTAGATGTACAGATATTTTTAAATTCAAAAAAAAGAGATCAGTTTTCCACTTCTACACATGCATGGATACTACAGAGCATTTTCTAAGAAGCCTCTTCAAGAGCTCTTAATAGTTTTTTTTTATCTTGGTAACAGCTCCCCTCTAAATTTTAACTTCTTAAATTAGTTAACAAGATAAACTTTTCTTCAAACAAAGCCATTATTATTTTGCTTTCTCTAACTCATTATTTTCAAATATCTTCTCTCTCAACGATTCTTTATGTCACAATCCAAAAATCATTTTCCACCAGTTTTTGAGAAGTACTGAAGTAGAATATATTGTTTTACACTGGCAAAAGGAATGGGGAAGTATTCCTTCTACCATTTCCCTCTCTCCTCACTCACCAAGCTGAAGCTTTTATAGTGTAGTGCCCAGCCCTTTTCAGCACCTCTTTTTCCTTCCTTAATAGCTGTTTTGCCATACCCAGAACATGGAGTTTCTCTAAGTACAACTGTGTTCTAGATCCCTTTCTTTACTTCCAACATATGCAACAGCCACTTTCAACAACAGAAGAAAGATTCATATTGTGGTATGCTTCTACAACTAAAGAGATAGAAAAACTTCCGTGAAGTACATTAAAAAAATAGTAATAATAATCACCATCATCCTATTACCACACTTAAAAGAAATCACAATATAATAACAAATAAATACTAGCCATTTTAAGCAAGGACTACATATACATACTTGTCACTGTTGGCCAGCTGCTTGAATTCCTTCACTGTCATTGGCTTTTTCTGAATGTTATATTGTGTGAAGAGCCCTGACTGGCCAGTGACCATCTGCTGAATTGGAGCAGGAATCACCAGATCTTCAATATCATCATAATGTTTTCTTGGCTTCCATTCCTTTGGTGGGATAACCTGAAAATTTGGGTGAAAAATACAGAATATCAACAGCTGCCACACCAATTCCAAATATTATGGAAAATCCAAAGAATCAAATATGCCCACATGGTGAATTTACTGCTTACCAGCTGCTACACTTAACCACATGATCATGTAAGTGCACCTAGATGGTACAGAAACTTAAAATGGCCATAACATCATCTTCTGTTGCTCAGTTCACAAGCACTAACTCACTAACCCACAGCAATTCAGACCATGCAACTGTGCAAACATACACATGTAACACAAATGGACAGAAATCCTTTACAATCAGAAAACAATACAGTGCACAAGCACTGCTCACTACGATACAGAATTGTTATCCTCAATGTAAGTAAAAAGCAAACTTCCAGCTGCTCACGGAATTGCGCGGTGGGATCTCCTGGGAAACCGTCTTTAAGGGCACGGGTACAGAACAGAGTTGGTAGCTCTTTAAGCACACCCTTCTGCAAGGGCAATGGCTCTCCATCCCCCAGCTGAAGTCGAGCAGAGGAGGCAGGCAACCACCATGGCTGAGCAAGGACTTGCAGCTTAAAATGAGGGAAAAGAGGGAAAGTATAGGAAGTGGAAGCAGGGTTGTGTAGCCTGGGAGTAATACAGGGCTGTTGTCTGTGTGTGTAGAGATAGGACCAGGAAAGCCAAGGCACAGATGGAGCTGAATTTGGCAAGAAACATGAAAGATAACAAGAAAGGGGTTCTACATGTACATAGGCAGGAGGAGACAGGCCAAGGAAAGTGATCTCCTTTTGATAAAAGGTAATGAAGAGCTGGCTTCCTCACACATAGAAAAAGTTGAGGTGCTCAATAAGTGCTTTGCCTCAGTCTTCACTGGTGGTCAGTCTTCATGTGTCTGCCAAAACCCTGAACCTCCAGGTGAGGGTGCAGGGAGTGGATTCCATCCCAATGTAACAGAGGAACAAGTCCATAGACCTCCTCATGCAATTGAATGTATTTAAGTCCATCAAGCCAGATGATATCCATCCTGGGGTTCTGAGAGAAATGGCTGATGTGGTTGCCAAGCTGCTTTTCATCATATTTGAAAAATCACAGCTGTCTGGTGAAATCCTGGCTGACTGGAAAAAGGGAAACATTACTCCCATTTTTAAGGGAGAAAGGAAGACACAGAGAGCCTCACCTCTGTGCCTGGAAGATCATGGAGCAGATCCTCCTAAAAGGGCTTTGTTAAATCACATATAAGACAAAAAGGTGATCTGAGACAGCCAGCACGGCTTCACCAAGGGCAGATTTTGTCTAAATAATCTAGTGGCCTTCTACGATGGAGTGATGGCATCAGTGGACCGGGGAAGGGTGATGGGTGTCACCTACCTGGACTTCCGCAAGGCCTTTGACATTGTTCCTCACCACATCCTTCTCTCTAAATTATAGAGGTGTGGATTTGAAGGGTGGACTGTTCAGTGGATTAAGATCTGATTGCTAGCCACAGTCAAAGATTCACTAGTTGTGTGTCAGGGTGGAGGCCAGTCACAAGCAGTGTCCCCCAGGGGTTGGTCTTGGTACCAGTGCTCTTTAACATCTTCATCAATAGATGTTGATGAGACAACAGATGACACAGACAATGGCATCGAGTGCACCCTCAGCAAGTTTGCTGATGACACCAAGCTGAGTGGTGCAGTCGATACACTCAAGGGAAGGGAAGCCATCCATAGGGACCTGGACAGGCTGAAGAAGTGGGCCCACGAAAACCTAATGAGATTCAACAAGGCTAAGTACAAGGTGTAGCACTTGTATAGGGAAAAACCGGGTATTTATACAAACTGGTAGAAAAACTCCTTAAGAGCAGCCTCATGGAAAAGGACTTGGGGATCCTGGTAGATGAGATGTTGGACAGGAGCCACCAGTGTGTGCCTGCATCCCAGAAAGCCAACTGTGCTCTGGGCTGCATTAAAAAAGGGGTGGCCAGCAGGGGGAGGGAGGTGATTGTCCTCCACAAGAGCTACTCAGCTTTTGTGAGGCCACATCTGGAGTACTGCGTCCAGGCCTGGGGCAGCCAGCACAGGAAGGACGTGGAGCTCTTGGAGTAGGAGGAGGGCCAGAGGAGGGCCACTAAGATGATCAGAGGGTTGGAGCACCTCTCCTATGAGGAAAGATTGAGGGAACTGGGCTTGTTTAGCTTGGAAAATAGAAGGCTCCAGGGAGACCTCGTAGTGGCCTTCCAGAACTTGAAGGGAGCTAATAAACAGGAGGGGGAACAGCTATTTATGAGGGTGGACAGTGATAGAACAAGTGGAATGGTTTTAACCTGAGACAGGAGAGGTTTAAGTTAGATATTAGGAAGAATTTTTTCACACAGAGGGTGGTGACGCACTGGAACAGGTTGTCCAAGAAGGTTGTGGATGCTCCATTCCTGGAGGCATTCAAGGCCAGGCTGGATGTGGCTCTGGGCAGCCTGGTCTGCTGGTTGGCGACCCTGCACAGAGCAGGGGGTTGAAACACCACGATCATTGCGGTCCTTTTCAACCCAAGCCATTCTGTATGATTCTATGATTCCTACAATTGACAGTCCTTTTTCCAAATGTTGTTTGCTGAATAGAGTATGAATAAATCTCTTTTTTTCTGATATATTTATGAAATTACAGCTAGTTCAGAGAACTGCTGTCTGCTTAACTTACACAAAACTGCAGTGTACAGTTCCATTAGAATAGCAGTTTGGACTCATTAAGACATACTGATTTTGTATTAACACAATTTAAAGCTCATAATTAAATATTAAAGCTCTGTGTGGATTAGCCAATTGTAAAGCTAACATTTATTTCAGACATCACCATTGTCCAAAATCTATTCCTCCGTAGGTATGAAACTGTTATCACTAAAGCCATTCCAAATTTCCAAGAATCCTGTAGTGACAGAAGTGTTCTTTAATAGAATGCATAATTTTGAATATTCCTTTTACTACTTATCTGAAAACAGAAAATTCTCCAAATTTGAAATTGCTAGTTTTAAAACAAAGTTGGAGACAGGTTTTGGGCAGTCTATTTTATCTTATTGCTTTCCTTCTAGCTTCTCCTTTTTTCTTAATTTTACTTGACAAAATATTTGGATGCTGTATTTGTGGATTTGCTCCCCTCATTATAACTGATTTCTCTGCGGATCTCAGATTTTCATAGGCATTGGCTTGCAAATTTTTAATGAAACACAGAGCAAGCAGGATGGCTTCTGTAGAAGTATCTCTACTATTTATGAATTACGGAACTTGAATAATTAATTCATATCTTAAAGGTAGCTTTTATTCTGTGACAGCTAGATCATTCCTCTAATGAAGCACTACAGGATTTCATACAACACTGCCCATTAGAGACTGTTATAACATCACTCAGTAAAAAATTAAGAGTTTAAAAAAAATAAGAGAAAAATACTACTTAGATCATAAGATCATTTGCTACCTTACTAAAACAACTGTAAGCATGCAAGCTGTAATGCTCAAGTACTCAAAATCCAACCATCTAAGAGATCTGGACAACACCATTCATGGTAGTAAGTACATACTAACCTGAATATACCAAGCTAAAGAAAAAATATCAGATAGTAATATAGTTCTACATCTAGAATTTTGACTTCAAACCAACTTTTCCTTTATTCAGTTCTCACATGGATAGAATCCCCTCTGTCTCTTTTTCCTCTCAACTACCACACGATTCCATTTATATACGGACTCCAGAGCTTGTTTCGGTTTTTTTAGCTTTTAGAGAAAAAATAATTGTATCATCTTGTGATTTCTACACAGTTCTCTCATGCAAATCTTATGTTTTGTTCACATCAGCATTATACCGAATGTTGGTTTGGAGCAGGGAAGTCATGCATTCAGAATATATGCATAAAAATCAAATATGTGCACAGAGGTCTCCATTTTCATGATTATTAAGCATGAACTCGTACATCTGGCTCAATCAGATGAATACTGAAAAGCAAAATTTGCATTATCTTCTTCAATTCAAGGTCAGTGTGTTTTAAGTGATTAAAACACTTTTGTGAACATTGAGTCAAAATATCCACTTTCAACTATCTGAAATTTGTTTATGATTGTCATTACTCATTAGAAAAGTGAATTGTGTGAGCACTGATATTCTACACATCATTTAAATGAAAACAAAGTCTCCACCCCAAATAATTTACTTTTTCTAGCAAAGGTCAGAGCAAGGAGTAACGATATTAAAACACCATATCTAAAATGACATATAGTCAGAGGCCGTATCACAGTTGGAAATAATGACTAGGTCAAGTTTTTTACTACTGACCCTGGGATCTACACTCCCAGTGAGGCCTCTTGACATTCCCTTTAAAAATGAACTACCTTTTTGAAGTCAGGCAAATTATGTTTATGTTATGAAACCAACTTAGATTAAAATCATCAATCGTTTGATGTTCAAATTAAAAAAAAAAAAAAAAAAAAAAAGCAGAGTTTTCTCATTTATCTGTATTTACAGCAAATAGCCGAAGTATATTTACATTGACTGATGTTACTTAGGGGATATGTATTCAGTTTTAGATAACAAATGTCACAGTTATAAACTACCATTCATTTTCCCCTATGAACCTGCATATTATAGAACTGAGGTTATTTCAGAATGCTATCAAAGCATACAGTTTGTATTAAATCCTCCTCTGTGTGCTGGTAATCTCCTGTCCCACATCTGATTCTGAACAGCAGTGGCTACTATTTCTATGTAGCTAGTTTCATTCAAAATCTGAAAAAGTTATTTTCCTTCTGCTTGTCAATGTATACCTTCAGTGCAATGTTCCAAAATTTACTTTCCCACTTGTCAATTTGTTTGCAAATTCATTTAAGTGCTTTGCTCCACATAAGTGCAGTTTGAGGCTCCAGAACAATTCTTAGTCAAGAAAGAGCAATTAATCTATCAGTGTACTTTATTTTTCTCTTATTCTGTGGCTTTCCTTTTTAAGAAAAGGGCTCTCTGTGACAATAGAACTAAAATGCATTATTCCATGCTTTCAACAGC